CATCCCTGTGGATCCCCATGAGCTGTGCATGAATCTCTGCATCCCTGTGGATCCCTATGGGATGTGCATGGATCTCTGCATCCCCGTGGATCCCCATGGGCTGTGCATGGATCTCTGCATCCCCGTGGATCCCCATGGGCTGTGCATGGATCTCTGCATCCCTGTGGATCTCCATGGGCTGTGGGTGGATCTCTGCATCCCTGTGGATCCCTATGGGCTATGGATGGATCTCTGCATCCCTGTGGATCCCTATGGGCTATGGATGGATCTCTGCATCCCTGTGGATCCCCATGAGCTGTGGGTGGATCTCTGCATCCCTGTGCATCCCCATGGGCTGTGGGTGGATCTCTGCATCCCTGTGGATCCCCATGGGCTGTGCATGGATCTCTGCATCCCCATGGATCCCCATGGGCTGTGCATGGATCTCTGCATCCCTGTGGATCCCCATGGGCTGTGCATGGATCTCTGCATCCCTGTGGATCTCCATGGGCTGTGGGAGGATCTCTGCATCCCCGTGGATCCCCATGGGCTGTGGGAGGATCTCTGCATCCCCGTGGATCCCCATGGGCTGTGGGTGGATCTCTGCATCCCTGTGGATCCCCATGAGCTGTGCATGGATCTCTGCATCCCTCTGGATCCCCATGGGCTATGGATGGATCTCTGCATCCCCATGGGCTGCAGGGCACAGCTGCTTCACCGTGGTCTCACCACAGCCTGCAGAGGAATCTTGGTTCTGGCACCTGGAACACCTCCTTTCCTCTCCTTCTCCTTGGTGTCTCCACGTTGTTTCCTTCACGTGTTCTCATCTCCAGCTCTTCTCTGACTAGAAGAACAGAACTGTTTGTGCCCACTTTGTTCTGATTTTCTTGTTAAATCTGCTATCACAGCTCCCAGCCTCTCCAAGTGGCCCAGCCTTGGCCAGCACCATGTCCCATCTTCAGAGCCACCAGGGACATGTGGCTCTGCTGGACATGTGGTGGAAGCTTCCAGAAGCTTCTCACAGAACCTCAGTGGCCCCCCTGCTGCCAAAAACCAGGCCCAACACACACTGAAAGAGAAGCAGAGCTGGGGTGGCAGAGCTGGGGTGGAGGAGGACCTGAAGCTGCCTCATGGGGTCTCCAGGGGGCTTTATCCAGCTGACATTTTCAGCACCTTAAAAGGAGAAGATTTTGGCCAAGTGAGGAGACAGAAGCTGACTGCTCATGGCTAAAGAGAGCAGAGACTCTCTTTGGCTGCCACCTTCACTCAGGAATGGGCAGAAGGTGAGGAGGAAAGCCCCAGGAAGGCACATCTGCAGTTCAGTGCCTTTTCCCCACCGGTGGGGATTCAGAAGAATGCTGAATCCAGCTGCAGGCATTCAGAAGAAAAATTGTTTTAGAAGAAAATCTGCTTGAATTTAGAAGAATTTATAAGAAATCTGCTTTAAACTACTTTCCTAGGAACTTGTAGGAGGAAGACTTAGAGAATCCCATTTGTGTTCTTTGCTCTTAGAGCTCAGCCAGGCAGAACCAGACAGCCAGAAATGCATAGGAGGAAAAAAACTGGGAAACTTTGGCTCCTTCCAGCCCCAAGAGCTCATGCACAAAGAGAAATAATGATGATACATTGAATGAGAGGGGAAAGGAGACCCAAGCACGGCCTTGAAGGGAAAAACCACTTGGATGTCTTTACTGCAAGGCACTTGGGTCTTCTCAAAGCAGCTTGAAATTCCCACTCTGCCAGTTCTGAATGCCACAGCCAGTGAGAAGAAGCTCATGCTCTGTGGAAGATGTGGTCTTTGTTGCTGAGTATTCCTCAGAAGGGATTCATGGCTAGGCTAAATGCAGGGATTACATCTTCTGCATGTTCCTGGCTGCACCTGAAATTTAGACCTTCTTCTTCTTCTTCTTCTTCTTCTTCTTCTTCTTCTTCTTCTTCTTCTTCTTTCTTCTTCTTTCTTCTTCTTCTTTCTTCTTCTTTCTTCTTCTTCTTTCTTCTTCTTTCTTCTTCTTTATAATATAGCACCTCTTTATATATAATATATATAATAAAATATAGAAAAATATTAATATATATCATATAATCCTGTTTCAGATCATCTGATTTCATGCTCTCTTCCCTCTCCTTGTCAGGAGCCCAGCTGTGTGTCAGGGTTTGAGGTCTGCACTTGGCTGGCTGCAGCCCAGCAGGGTTTGGATGTCCTCCCTGTGGTTGAAGCTTGAAAGTCTTGGGAGCCTGAAGCACCTCATGGCATTTTCATGCTCAGAATGAACAAAATTCATGGTGATTTGGGTCAAAATCCCATGTAGGTGTGGGGGATTGTGTTCAGTGCTTTCTCAAAATGTCTTTGTTGTCTCTGCTAATCCTGTGGGTTCTGGCCTGTCTTGGAGGTAGAGGCTCCATCCCAGAGAGGGGATGAGCAGGACTGAATTCCTTTTGAGGCCCATCTAAGGGCTTGTACCTCTTGAGCCCCTCAGTCAGGGGGATGAGAATCAAAAATTGTTACCTCTGAAAAAAATTCTTATCTCTGACCATTGGTCTTGTCCTTCAGGGAGGGACGGGAGCCTCTCACTGTGGTGTCCTGGGTACCTGCTACAGCTGCCAGGCAGCACCAGAACCTCCCATGGGCAGCACTGAGGGCCTTCAGGTGCCAGAGGAGCAAAGTCTTTTCTTTTTCCAGTGCCAGGAAGGGCTCATGGCACAGGCTTTTCTGTTCTTTGCCCCAGTCTCACTTCTGGCTTCATGCTTGCCTAGACAATTGTCTGCAGCGAGAGGAAAGGGAAGCTGGCTGTTAGCTGGCTTCTCTGGATCTGGCTGTGGTGTCTTCATCAGCAAACTGAGCAGTTCTCCAGTGGCTGTGGCACAAAGGAGGACAGCAAGGAGCAGCTCCATCCTTAGGGTAGAAAACACACATATTAATGAAGAAATACCAATAATTATGAGAGCATATAAATGTGATTATGAGTGGCAGGGCTGGGGCAGAGTGACTGTGAGTCTTTTGAAGTCTCCCCAGCCACACAGAGCTTCTCCAGAGGGGTAAGATGATGGTGTTTTTTTGTGGCAGGTAGAGAAAAACCAAAGGAATCATTCTGAAATCAACTCTTGATGTTCAGCACCCTTCAGTCTGTAGTGCAGGTTTCATAGAGCAGTGTGTTTAACAATACAGAAAGAAATTCCTGCTCCCACTGCCAGGTGAGCCGAACAATAGATTTTGGTGCACGTTGTTCCAGCTGCCCAAATATTTGATCTCATGATCTCTTTTTCTCCACAGCCGACTAAACCACAATAAATTATCATCTTCTCCACATAAAGGGGAACAGCAGATGAAAAGGCATGTGCATGCTGAGAATAGAAAGCTTATAAAAGTGTCAAATTTCCAGAAAAGATTTCAACATCAGTTACATGAAAGAGCTGTGTATTCCTTAGGGGTAGAGAGAGTCTGGCACTGGGCTGTTTCTCTGCTTGTGTCCCTGTACTGACCACAGGTAATATAATAATATAATAATATAATAATATAATAATATAATAATATAATAATATAATATAATAATAGTAATCCACCTATTTTGCAGGGCTGATATCAGCCCAGCTGGGCAGGGGAATCACTCCAGGTTGCTGTGGTTCTGACACAGCAGGGCTGATGGGTACAAGACAGAGCTCAGTTGGAATCCCCTGCACAGGACAAGCTAAGCTCCAGGTTCTGGAAGGGCTTCTCTCAGAGCTGGAGCTATTTCCAGCACTGGATCCCAGCTGCAATTTCCACAATCCAAAGCTCTTCCCCCATTCCCAAGGGGTAAAGTGTAAAGCCATCTCTAATTTTTCGTTGTGCACTGTAAGATTTTCCAGCTTCTTCTCAAAAAGAGCTGTCCCAAGCAAGATTTCCCTGTTACAGATTCCCTGTTTCCATCCCCACTAGTTTCTCTGGAGTTCCTTTTCTTAAAAGCATTTAAACACATCCCCAAATTTCAGCACTGCTGCTCAGGCAGGTGTTTAAATGACTGGCCAGACCATGAGGTGCTGTTCAGGTGTTTCCCTCATACGAGAACTGACCTGTCCCTGCTTCACTTCTCTTACCATGGCTGCAGATTTGCTGTACATGAAGGGAAGAATGGGAAGAATCTGCACAGCCCTTTAAGAGGAGGGCTGCAGATACAACTAGCCTGATCTGCAAAATATTTTTGAAAAATTGAGTCTGATGAGGATCAAAAGCCAGTGGTATGACTCACCCTGGTGTAAAATTCCTGGATTAGCTTTAGATGTGGAATTTGAAAGATCTTCCCATCATTCAGCTCCAGCTACACAGTTATGACACACATCTGAAGGAATTTGGGTTTTTTTTTTCCTGACTGGCATTCAGACCTGCCCCCCCACCCTGTAAATTCCTGGGCTGCTGAGATCAGCACAAAACCAGAGCTCCAAAATTGGAGATTGCTGTTATATTCTTCCCTTCAGCACATCTTGCAACACCTTCCATGCATCTCAAAAGTTTGCATAGGTTTTTCAAAGTTAAATCTCACAATGGGGTCCATAGCAGGGAACACTCAAGTGTTTACTTAATATTGCTAGTATTTTTAAATGGTTTACTCGATCTTCTCATATTGCTAATCTCAAATATTCAAAGATTTTGATAAAGGTTTCAAATACTGTGAAAGCAGATATAAAATCTGGAGACTGTCAGAAGCAAAATACTCAGTTTCTGCTATCTTGGAGTCTTTTTGATACCTTGTCTTATTTTTATTTTTTTTATTTTCTTCCAAAGCCTCTGAAGGAAAAGAGCAAACCCTTTGACTGGAGCCTGCATTGCTGTGAGAAGTCGGTGTTTAAAATGTTGTGGCACTGTTTGAGGAGAGGTGGCAGTGAGCTGTCCCCATTCCAGCAGAGTTAGGGAGTACTGGGAGCAGAAGCCTTGTTCACAGAGGAGAAGACATCAACCATCCCTCTCCTGGAAGTGTTTGAAGGGTTTGGCTGACCCCAAACCCTCCAGCTGGAAAGGTGAGTGCCAGGGATCCTACAAGGAAAGTGTTACCTGTGGTAGCAAGAAATGAGCTGAGGATTGCAAGGAGGGAAGAGCATCCAGCTGAACCCTCTGACAGCATCATGTAACAGAATAATCTGTCTGATTTTTATACTGGGAGTGAGTCATGCCCCTGTGACTTCCCTTCTGTGGCTCTTCTGTGAAATGTTTACTTTGCAAGGACAGGATGTGTTGCCTCCAAAAATCCTTTCTACTTCTTCAGAGGTTTGCCAGAAGAGGAGGCAGCTTGCTGGCCGTGTCAGCAGATGTCTTCTGCACCACGAACCAGTTTCTCCCAACGCCTGTCTTGTAGTGCTTGTCAGAAAGTCCAAAAGCAGATGTGTTTTCTGCTTTGTGCAGTGAAGGCTGAGGTAGCAGTACCCTGTGGCTGTTGTGTGGGCTCTGGCAGCTGAGGTGATCTGGGGAGGGATGGCCTGAAATCAGGATTTCTTCTTCACTGAAGGATGTTGTACAGCAAAAGCGCTTTTGTCTGCTCCCGTCTCACGTGAGATGAAAGGTGAGCTTTGCCAGATTTGTGCTGGGGGAGCCATTCAGTGTGAAATCCTCCTTTCAAATACCTGAGACAGAAATGGATTTTGCTCTTGGGCATGTCCAGGGATCCACAGCAGAGGCAGTGTCCAAGGAGGGCAGAAGAAGTGGTGGGTGAGCGCTGTGCTACCACCACCCGAGGCTGCACCACAGCCACGTTCCTGGCACTTTGCTCCATTCCCAGCATATTCTGAAGGGACCCTTTTCCTCAAAAGAGGGAAAAAAATATTGGTAATTGAGTCCATATGTGGCACTCTCTGGGTTATATCCTCAGTGCTCTTGTTGCTGTTTTATGGCCCACAATGAGGATGTTTGGTTACAAAAACTCAGAATCAGGGTCGGTTTGGTTGGAGAAGACCTCTGAAACCAGCGAGTCCAACCCATGACTGAACCAGCGAGTCCAACCCATGACCCAACACCACCTTGTTCCCCAGACCATGGCACTGAGGGCTGTGTCCACTTGATGCCTCCAGAGGCTGCCTGGAACAGGGGCTGGACAGAGTTAAAGGAATAAAGCAGGGATTTATTAAAAGCCCTTTAAAGGATACACCTTGGGCACTGCAAGAGCCTGGCCAAGGCTACACCCAGGATGGAGGTTATGAGTTTTCACACTTTGATCAGTTTTGGTCCATTTCCATATTGGGGTTCATTGTCCCATTCCAGCTGCAGGTGATGCAGTCCCATCCTCCCAGATTGCTCTCCTCCATTCGCTGCTGGTTGTGCTTTTTGGGGCTAGGGGAAATACGAAAGCCAGAACTTCAGGCATCACAGTCCTTAAACTCCTCCAGGGGTGGTGACTCCAGCACCTCCCAGGGCAGCCCATCCAGTGTCCCTTTCTGGCAGAAATTCCTCCCAGTGTCCAACCCCAACCTCCCCAGGCACAGCTTAGGGCTGTGTCCTCTTGTCCTGTCACAAGTGACCTGGGAGAAGAGGCCAAACTCCACCTGGCTCCTCAGCCTCCTTGCCTTCTCTGGACAGGCTCCAGCATCTCAACATCCATCCTAAGCTGAGGGCCCCAGAACTGGACCCAGAACTCGAGGTGTGGCCTCAGCAGTGCTGAGTTCCTATCCTAAAGTGCTGATGATGCTTTCATCCTCTCCAAGTGGTGGTCTGCCTGTTAGACCAAAACTCTCGTACTGCAAGCAAAGGTGGAGCCCCATCTTCTT